TAACAGATAATCAGAGTTGGAAGGGACCTTGTAGGCCATCTAGTCCAACCCCCCGCCCAAGCGGGAGACCCTACACCATTTCTGACAAATGGCAGTCCAATCTCTTCTTGAAAGTCTCAAGTGATGGCGCTTCCACAATTTCCGAGGGCAAGCTGTTCCATCTATCTCTATCATCTATCCATCCATCCTCCATCCATCCTTTCCTTATTCCTCTCTCTAATCTCTCTAGCAGTCTATCATTCTATCACTCTATCTGTCCATCCATCCATCTATCCACCTATCTATCCATTATGTAGCAGGGCTACCAGATTCTGTAACAGTTTCGTTCCCTACACCATCTGTCTGGTAAACTCACAAGATTAATTTTTCTCGCCATAAACATGTATACATCTGAATTAGACTGTGTTGTTTCTCTGTGTTATGGAATATATGTGGGTATATGCATAATTTTGTATTTATTTGTTTGTTTCATGTTTACATAGTGTATACTGGAGGTGGAGACCCTTTGAGAGCTATATGCAACGAAATTTCATTTTAATGTATGCCGATGAGTGTACATTCAAAGCCCCAATGAAGTTATTCTAAATCTACGTCTAATCTAGCTTCCCCACTGGCTTTGCTTGTCCGAAGGTTGAGAAGCTCGATTTTTTTTTCAATAATTTTCAAACAGTCACTAAACAAACTATTGCAATCCGATGACTAGTATAGTTTTTTTTTGTCTGCCTCCAACCTCTAACCATCAATAGAGATTGGATGTACCCATGGTTGCAGGGTGGTCCAATTATGTTCCAGTTGGTCCTTTTTAACCTTTTGGTTGTGGGAAGCCAAACACACAGGTCATATTTCTATCTCTTGATGTACATTGGGCCCTGTTCCCGTGAAAACATATCCCAATTCAAATTTGCAAAAAACTGCTTACGTGCATATCTGCCAATCTAACACCCAGCAAAGAGCATGCGCCAAAACTCTCCCATGCCACAGACAAGACTCTGAGTCACTGGCCACAACAATAATGAATTGCAAAATAATAACAAAAGCATCCAAGGGATGAATAGCACATTCAGACCCCCCAAGTATGGACTAAAGCTGGTGTGTGCAAACAAGAAGGAGATTAGGAAATCCTAGAGACTTATTAAAGCCACAAAGTTAAGTTTCCAGGAAATCTAAAGGTTTCTCAGATCCGCTGAGAAGATTCCTGTGTGTTGGCTTTTAGCAATTCAGTAGTTTAACTGAAACGTCTCGTGCAGACCTGGTTCTTTGCACTCCTGACACAGGCTTGAGGTTCGTACAACGTCATTTGGAAGGAATTTTACAAGAAACGACAGGATAGGCCCTCCTTCCTTTCTGCACTGCTGAAATTCCCAATTTACCTCGTGGGAAGACGCCCGGGTCCATAAACGTGGCCATACTGAAGTTTGCCAGGACAAACAGGAATACGAGCCCATTGTAGAGTGGAACAGCTGGGGAGATGGCTCTGGTCAACCACGGGCACCTGGACAAAAGTTGCACAAAAGACACGAGGGCGTTATTTGTCAAACCCAACAGCTGACATTTTCGCCACCAAACGGAGCAGGAGGCAAAAGGTTAATTGTGCCACTGCAATCTTCTGCCTGCTTCTGATTTCTTAAAGGAGCTCCCATGATGCTAATTTCAGGTCCAGAAGGTGAAAAGGGGAATCAAAATGACAGGACACCGGAGGTGGTATTCAGCCGGTTCTGACCAGTTCTGAAGAACCGGTAGTGGAAATTTTGAGTAGTTCGGAGAACCGGCAAATCCCACCTCTGACTGGCCCCGCCCCCATCTCTTCTCTGCCTCCCGAGTCCCAGCTGATTGGCTGGGTCTTCTTTGGTTGCCCTGCACAGGAGAATGGAGCTGGAAAGCAGGTTAGTGGGGTGGAGAGCAGAGGTGGGCATTCAGCCGGTTCTGACCAGTTCTGAAGAACCGGTAGTGGAAATTTTGAGTAGTTTGGAGAACCAGCAAATCCCACCTCTGACTGGCCCCGACCCCATCTATTTGCTGCCTCCCATTGAGTCCCAGCTGATCAGCTGGGTCTCCTTTGGTTGCCCTGCACAGGAGAACAAAGCTGGAAAGCAGGTCAGTGGGGTGGGGAGGGGAGGGGGATTTTGCAGTATCCTTCCCCTGCCATGCCCACTAAGCCACGCCCACCAAGCCACGCCCACCAAGCCATGCCTACTGCTGATTGGCTGGGTCTGCTTTGGTTGCCCTGCACAGGAGAATGGAGCTGGAAAGCAGGTTAGTGGGGTAGGGAGGGAATAGGGATTTTGCAGTATCCTTCCCCTTCCTCGCCCACCAAGCCACACCCTCAGAACTGGCAGTAAAAAAAATTGAATCCCACCACTGCTACAGACCATAAACTGTTTCAACTCCTACCCTCAAAATGACTCTGTAGAGCACTGCACACCAGAACAACTAGACACAAGGAGAGTTTTTTCCCAAACGCCATCACTCTGCTAAACAAATAATTCCCTCAACACTGTCCAACTATTTACTAAGTCTGCACTACTATCACTATTACTATTAATCTTCCCATTCCTCCTTTCACCCATCTCTTCCCACTTACGACTTTATGACTGTAACTTTGTTGCTTGTATCCTTATGATTTATATTGACTGTTTCCTAGTATGATTTAATTGCTTATTTATTTATTTA